GCAAGTTTCCCTTCCACAAATACTAGTGACTCCTGTTCTAATTCCTCCATAAGTGTATCAATGCTTTGTGATTCTTGAGTTTCTTCAAGCTCTACTTTCCTCCCACTGATTCCTTTGGAAATAATTCCAAGAAAACTCTAATTCGAGTGACAAACACTTAGCACTCAAAAGGATTATAGAAGTAATACCCTATTGTTTCTTTAGGATACCCCACAAATAAGCATTTGTCAGATTTGGGCTCAAGCTTAGTTGAAATTTATCATTTCACATAAACTTCACAACCCCAAATCTTCATGTAAGACATATGTGGTTTCTTACCATTCCATATCTCATATGGTGTCTTCTCAACTTTTTGGATGGAATATGATTAAGTGTGTAAGTTGATGTTAGAAGTGCATGTCCTCAAAAGAAGTTTGGAAGATCGGAGTGACTCATCATGGATCGGAACATGTCTAACAAGGTTCGATTTCTTCTCTCATATACACCATTCTATTGTGGTGTTCCAGAAGGAGTGAATTGGGATAGAATCCCACACTATTTTAGATGGTCATCAAACTTTAGGTTAAATATTCATCGCCTCGGTCTAATCGAAGAGTTTTAATATTCTTACCTAGTTAGATTTGTACTTCATTCTTGAATTCCTTGAACTTTTCAAAGGACTCAAATTTGTGTTTCATAAAATACACATAACCATATCTACTGGAATCATCAGTAAATGTGATGAAGTAGTGAAAACCTCCTCTGACTGGTATGTTCAGTGGTTCGCATACATCAGTATGTGTGAGGGACAAAATATCACTAGCCCTTTCACCTTTTCCTATGAATGGGGACTTTGTCATCTTTCCAATTAAACAAGATATGCATGTCTCATATGATTCATAATCAAAAGAGTCCAAGAGTTCATCTTTATGGAGTTTGGGAATGCGCTTCTCATTTATGTGGCCTAATTGACAATGCCAAAGGTAAGTTGGATTTAACTCATTAGGTTTCATCCTTTTAGTATTAATGTTATAAATAGGCATTTCAAGATCAAGAACATATAGTCCATTGGTCATTTGTGTGGTAGCATATAATATATCATTCAAATAAATTGAGCAACAATTGTTCTTTATTATCAATGAAAAACCAAACTTGTCCAAACAAGAAACGAAAATAATATTCTTGCTAATCGCAGGTACATAATAACAATTCTCTAACTAAATTATTAAACTACTAGGTAAAGTCAATACATAAGTTGCTACAGATAAAGCAACAACCTTTTCTCCATTGCCAACTCGTAGGTCAACTTCACCTTTTGCCAAATTTCTACTTCTTTTTAGCCCTTTCACATTAGTATAAATGTGAGAACCATATCCAGTATCTAATACTCATGATGCAGAAGTATATAAATTTATTTCTATAAAAAAAACCTGAAGTCAAAGTTTCAAATCCATTCTTCTTGTCTTCCAGGTACTTTGGGCAGTTTCTTTTCCAGTGTCTGGTCTTACTGCAATAGAAGCAAGTGCCCTCCTTTGCTATGCCTCCACTAGGTTTCAAAGGAGGAGCAGTATGTTTGGATTTGGCAACTTCCTTGCCTTTCAATTTACCACCCTGCTTGGCGGGCCTTTTGTTTTGTTTCTTTCTATTACTGACCATTAGAATGGATTTCCCTGTTGGCTTCATATTTTGCTCACCAGTTCTTAACATGCCTAGAAATTCAGGAAGAGTTTGTCCATATCATTCATGTTAAAATTAAGGACAAACTAACTGAAGCTTTCTAGCAACAATTGCAAGATCAAATCAGTCGCAAGTTTCTTTTTGAGGGGAAACCCCAACCTTTCAAGGTTTTTTACATACCCAATCATCTTGAGTACATGGGGACTTATAGGGGCTCCCTTAGCTAACTTGCTTTGAAAAAATTATTTTGAAACTTCAAACCCTTCATGTCTTTCCTGCTCTTGACAAAGCATCTTCAGATGTTCGATCATATTGAATGCTGCCATGTTCTCATGTTTCTTCTGCAACTCCGAGTTTATGGTAGCCAACATGAGTCAGGCAGCTTCATTGGCATCATCGACATGCTTCCTATAAGCATCTCTTTCTGCCTTATGCTTTTTACAATCCTTGTGGCGTCATGAACCCTAATGCACAACTTCATACCATCAAAACACCATATAAATAATATTAAACATCGCATTTTGAAGCAAATGAACATGGATAGCTCAAAAGAATAACAATCATTACGTGATTGAATGGACGAAATAGAAATAATATATCCAATATACCATCTTTGCACCAGAGTTACTTATATCACATATAAAATTTGATCGAACATATTTGTGTAACTTAATGACAATCAATGTATCGCTGCTTCACCATACTAATGTCAGATTCTACAACATAATCAACATCGATCATCCAAATCGTACACAGCCTGATGCCAAAATTCAATTACTCGATTATAATTTTATTTATTCTGTGTTTTAGTCGAATTAAAACAGAAAGTAAAAAAAGTAAACATCTATCAGATGCATGGTTTCGTAAGTGGCTCTGATACCACTGAAGGGAAATTACAATCCAAAACACGGTGGAAATTAAAATTTTCCCTTTAATGATCCTTACGAATGAGCATGATTAATGATAAAAAAAACATTACCTCCTGTGGCGATAATTCCTTTGATATTGAACTGAAGAAGTGATCACGAGCGTTGAAGATGAACAATACCTCTACTTAATCCACATGAATAAATTCCTCTAGTCTCAGTGCTAGCTGCTACGAATGAAGGCTTTGAGTGAAAGAGAGAAGGAATATACGGTTAGGATTTCACGGACCGAACTTTCATTAAGTGTAATACTTTTACACAAGGGTTCTATTTATAGAACCACTTGTGTGGGCTGCAAGCTAAAAAGCTCACTTAAGTGCATCTTACCATATTCTGTATTTTACTTAAGTGCACCGTACCTTATGGTGTTCTACATTTACTTAAGTGCGTTGTATCTTACGGTGTTCCTTATTTACTTAACCTCTTATCAATCTGTCCTTATGTGTGTGACCTTGTAGGTTTTTGAGACGTTGGCAATTATATTAAATCACGCATTTAACATAATAAACAGCGAGCGGTATCTAGCAACACATCATTGCTACCCAAGTCACGAAAATGTCATGTGATCTGACAAAACCTTTTGTGATAATACTTGTGTGTACAATTACCCATTTTCCTTTATGTCTATATTAAACACAAGGCATATACCATGTCATCCTTGTCCAGTTCAATATTGGACCCTTAGACATTTATCCTGTTATGCAGGATGGACAAATTCCATCTAAGTCACTCATGTCCCTTAACATGCTTTGTGGAGTACCCATCAACTGTCTTTATGGTCACCCAGTTACGAACAATGTTTCATCAGCAATAAAATACTCAACTCTACATCTAGGGTCCATAGTGGTTTCAGGTTGAATTGTGGTATACACCACTATCACCATGTGAGTAACTTATGACACTTTGCATAACATTTTATATAGTACTCTCATAGCGGGTCAATCCAGTATAAATATTACTTCTAATATTCATACCTATGTTAAGACTTGATAACTCCTTATCCATGATCCGTGAGATGTGATCATCAATCTATCTACATAATAGTCTTAATGCTTTAAGGTTATCCCACTTTACAATAAAGCTCGATTATGGATACTTTAAAAATAATGTCCTTATGTTTAACGGGATCTCATGATTAAGTCACACTTAATATTTCATTAAACGGATTAACTATTCTAGAGACTTTGTTATTTTGAAAAAACAAACATTATAAAGAAATGTCTTTTATTTTTAACAAATAATTCGATACAAGTACCAAAGAAATTGGCCTCTAAAACTTACACCAACACTATTATGTTAGTGTATAAAATCACGTCATTATACATATTTATTAGATAAGTGAAAATTACATTGAATAACCCAAGTCCAATCTATTATGTTAGTGTATAAAATCACGTCATTATACATATTTATTAGATAAGTGAAAATTACATTGAATAACCCAAGTCCAATCCAAGCGCCTTTTGATGTTATGGGCGATCTAAGCACTACACTAGTACTCACATGACATTTCTTCGGACGACTTATGGTATTCGCCCATCCCCAATAAATTTTGCATTGCTGTCTGGCCCCTAATTCTTTTAGTTTTGACAAATTTATCCTAGAACCTTCATGCAATTTAAACAACTCAAAGAAGCCTATGGAATAATCACCGCTAAAAGTGATTCAAAGTTTTGAACCACATCGGCTAAAAGTGATTCAAAGCCTATGGAACACTTTACACCAAATATCAAATCAAAATATTTGAAAGGGAAATATTATTCTTCTTTAAAATTCTATCTCCAAACACTCCACAAATGCCCTAAAGGCCCCATTGAATTATGCATTTGGACATTGCTCATTCAACATATTCATTTTGTAGTAACACTTAACAATTTTTTTCCTTCTAGGTGTTCCTACTTTTCAGTGTATTCTCATGACCACATTACAAACCATATATATATTCTCTCTAAATATACATAAATACTAATTGTATACAATGATTGACACCAACACAGTATTCGACGTGCTTAATACGGTACGGGACATTTTGGTCATTGTAATTTGGACCATTGAATAATCAAGTCCTTTATAATCTTAAAATTTAAAATGAATATAACTCAACATACAAATTCGGTTTGTAAAGTGAAGACAATTGTTCATACTTTATAAGAAGTACGGAAGTCCTATCTCTAAGCAATACGAGATATGGGCGGATTGTGTTTAAGGCGGACCGGATTTCAATTGCACAGCAAATTCATTAGGAAAAGAACATAATTCAATATATTACAAAAACAAATAAATATGCTTCCACAGTTGCTGAATTCTTGATCATGACTTTGGAAGACCATGCATAAAAATTGGCACTTCCTAAAATGTACTCTTAGTTCTCTTTCTCTAGAATCTATTAATGCAAAAAACTTGTAGCAGTAGTTCTGTCTAAGCAGATAACACAGGCTGTTGAGATGATTCTTCTGTCTGCAAACTTTCATAATAATTGACAAGAACTTTCCATCCACTTGGGCACATAAATCCTTCTGGTGGATTCTCTCCGCTTTTCGCATAAGATCTCATCTGGAAAAATAAATCACCAAAATAAAAATAAAAATTGATGTTAAGGGCCTTGACCAGGCGCCGGCTCGGTCTTTTGGTCCGTGTCTTATAACCTACATGTGTTCGAGCCAATTGTTTCTTATTGGACATTGTTAAAAGGTGTCTGACACGTGTGTGAAGTTTGTTCGAGAAGTATCTGTGTCTACAATGTGTCTGACACGTCGACACGACACTACAATTTGGAATGATAATGTTCATGACAGCGTCAATAAAAGGATATGGAATATAATACCTTGGTTCCAGATATAAAGAGGAAATCATTAGATCGGCTAGGATCGAAAAACGCCATCTTGTTTACCTTAGTGTCATAAGCTGCAACCTGTAGTATAAATGGCAAACAAGGCATTCCTTAAAAACGTCGTAACCTTAGCGTACGAATCATGTCTAAAAGTAACAATGCTTACCCTGAATGGCAAAATGTTAAGCTTCTCAAGACCGGGAGCCATGCTAAGAACCTTTTTCCCGTGATCCGGGTCGTACAAATCCCTTTTCTCAGTTGGGTGACTCATACCAGCGGGATCACGACCGACAATATAGAAGTTGGCGCCAGCATTTATCCGCGCCTTTGCATGCCATTGCACTTCAGTTGGCCCTGCATAATGCATAGGTGACGGAAATATAGCAACTATGGTTGTCTCAGGATCAAGAACTCCATCTTCTAGCACCTAAGAACAAGAAAATGTATACGGTACGCAGAAAATGTAAGTTTGTTCAAATTCTGCTACACTACAGCGTCACTATTTAGCACGCTTGTTCTTACTCAACGCGATACAAGATGAAATTTACCTTGCTATGTTGCTCCATTCTGACATCTAAGGGAACATCGTCGGCCTTTGTGAAACCTCCAAGAGGATGAAGCAATAAAATCGGATTTTTGTAACCCATGTCCAATAGACGTTGGCGAGTATCGTTCATTAACAAGGCATGGCCGTTATGGACAGGATTTCTCAACTGAAAAGCGAAAACTGCATCAGCTTTACGCCTATCGAATTCTTCGCGAAGTTGTTTGGGAGAGAGCCTGTAGTTATCAAGACCATCATTGTATTTGATAGGTTTAAGAACTTCCAAATCTCCTCCGATAAGCCAATTTCCAGACGAAGCAATGACTTCTTCGACATAAGGCAATCCTGGAGCAGTTGTTCCCCATGTTCTAGCAATTCTTTCTTCTTTGTTATGCTTGTAGATTTCAATGCTGCAACGATGTTTAATCGGTAATGATAAGTGAAAACTAAGAGAACTTGTTTAAATAGCCATCGCAATAAAAGTCCAATGTTCTAAAAACAAACATGGCAATTCAACCTCGGTTAAACAATGACCACGATTGTTCGCAAAATCAAGCACGTATCTCATTGTCTAACACATGCCGATATCTGACACTCACACGACCCTCCTGACACATGTAGCTACATTTCAAATAATGACACTCACATGACCAAACACATGTAGTTACATTCAATCTCTTCAACTTTCACAAACTACTAACAAGGTCTACGTGTCTATGTCGTGTTTGGCATCACCGTCTCTACTTCTTAGATTGTGGCCAAGATTTAAAAAGCATAACAATTGAATAACTAATCAATTAAAAAGTACATATTAACCCTAAAATTATTTTAAAACCCTAACAATATGAAACTAACAAATTCAATAAAAAAATCAATTGAACAATAAATCAACTAAAAAACACAAAATTAACCAAAATTTAAAATAAAATCACTGCAATCACGTAAAGTCTTTCACAATTTCGGTCCATACAAGTATTACGACACGGTATGGACACCTTCGAAAACCGTTTTGTCGCGAACGTTTTCGCAGTATCAGACAACCTAGAAATTAACCTTAAAATTAAAGCAAGAGCAAGAAAAACAAACCTTCTAAGAATTGCAACACAATCTCCATCAGGCCCAACCAACCCAACATTAGAAGAAGATCCAATTCTCCCTTTAGTCTCATCATCAATAGACAAAACAATAGGAAGTGACATATTAACAAAAGAACCATCATTCAACCTAAATGAATTAAAATGCAAACTTTGAAGATACTCATTTTCCCTCATGAACCCTTTCAAAGGACTAGCCCAACCTTCACCAATCACATGCACCCATTCAAAATCAACCTTTGTTAATTTCACATTAGGAAGTGACTTAGCTTCAAGTACCTTAGAATCTCTTTCATTTTCAGGCACCACAAGATCTACTAATACACCCCCATCTGGCTCAATTAAAGAGCTTTTGATCTTGAAACTTTCTTGCATTCTTCTTTTCACTTTTTTACACTTTGTAACGATGAATGGATTGTTATGGGAAATGGGTTTTGGAAGAAACTTGGTATTGTAACATAAAGTGTTGTTTTTTATTAATTTTGCATGATTATTGTTGTTGATGTTATGGTGAGAAAGTAATTGTAGCTTGATGGTTAGAGACATAATGGGAAACTAATGGTTTTTTTGGAGAGAGAGAAGAAAATAGGAGTGTTGAAATAGTTTCAATGTGGCATAATGATAACAACCACAACCTAAGACTATGGCGAACATGTTGGATTAGATTCACAAGAAGTGGTTTTCTCTTTCTAATGTTTTTGTTGGTTGAGTTTGTGGATGAGAAAAGTGTGGTAGCCTATGCATGCTTTAAAAGATGCAATTTTGTTTTGGTGGGACCATAATTGTTACAAAAAGGTGCATCAAAAGATGAATGAGGCCTTATAGTGAAACAAAGTGAGGATTTGAGAATAAAGAAAAATATATTGCTTTTGATTTTGAAAATTATTACTTTTCAAAATGAATCTTTTGATTGCTTTGAAAATAAATTTTGAAAATATATGATATAATAAGAATGCAGTCCCTTTATTTAATTATATATATATATATATATATATATATATATATATATATATATATATATATATATATATATATATATATATATATATATATATATATATATATATATATATATATATATATATATATATATATATATATATATATATATATATATATATATATATATATATATATATATATATGAGTCAAACAATTAAATACATTCATTGATTTGTATATCTTTTATAAAGTTTATGCTAACGAATGTCTGATCACTTTTTAAAGATTTTAAATAAAAAAATTAATTTTTAAATATATTTTAATATTTTTATTTTTAATGCATTAAATATAAGTATCTTTAAAAAAATATCTTTTTATTTATTAGAAATGTCAATTATTTTAATATCTAATACATTAAATACAAATATTTATAATAAAAATATTTTTTAAACTCTTAAAAAATACCCCTGAAATTCGTTAGTATTTCTCATTTTATAATTAAGGAAGCCGATAATACACTTTAACATATTTATAAAGGAAATTTATTTATAACAATATAATGAATGTAGTCCCCTTAATTATATAGAATTATAGGGATTTGGATCCTCTCCTTTTTTATATATCATGTCATCTCTCATGTTTCTAATCTAACGGTTTAGAATTTATAATGAATAATTAAATAAAAAAAAGTCATTTATTCCAAAAATAATAAAGACAAATTACTTATTCATTTCTCTCTCCTATTAAATGATTTTTTTTATTTAATTATTTATTATAAATTCTGAACCGTTAGATTAAAAATATGAGAGATGGCAGGATATATAAAAAAGGAGAGGATCCAAATCCGAATTATAGATATATACAAGTCAAACAATTAAATACATTAATTAATTAATTAATTTTTTATAAAGTTTATGCTAACGAATGTCTAACCACTTTTTAAGGATTTTAAATAAAAATAAATAAATTTAAATAAATTTAATATTTCCATTTTTAATGCATTAGATATAAATATTTTTTTAAAAAAATGTCTTTTTATTCTTTAGAAATGTCGATTATTTTAATATCTATGCATTAAATACAAATATTTATAACAAAAGCATATCTTTTTAAACTCTTAAAAAAGTGCCCTTGAAATTGGTTAGCATTTTTCTTTTTATAATTAAGGAAAATGACAATACACTTTTAACATGTTTATAAAGGGAATTTATGTATAACAATATAATGAATGTACTGTAGTCCTCTTAATTATATAGAATTATAGATATATACAAGTCAAACAATTAAATACATTGATTGATTTATTTATTTTTTATAAGGTTTATGCTAACGAATGTCTGACCACTTCTTAAGGATTTAAATTTTAAAAGATAATTTTTAAATAAATTTAATATTTCCATTTTTAATGCATTAAATATAAGTATTTTTAAGAAAACATGTTTTTTTATTTTTTAGAAATGTCAATTATTTTAATATCTAATGCATTAAATACAAATATTTATAACAAAAATATATCTTTTTAAACTCTTAAAAAGTGTTCCTAAAATTCGTTAGCATTTCTCTTTTTATAATTAAGGAAACCGATAATACACTTTTAACATGTTTATAAAGGGAATTTATATATAACAGGGAATTTATATATAACAATATAATGAGTTTCTATTAAATGTTGGTGTAAAATTAATGTAAATTTCTTTTTCTATATATTATATATTCTCACAATTTCTAGCAATCGTATTCGAGATCTTCAAAAGTTAAAAACCATACTCTCCTAATTAGAGTAGAAAAATGACTAAGTTCGTCATACTCGATTGTTAGTCGAGTTTTAAAAGTAAATTATGTTTTTTAAAGGTTTTTTTTATACTTTTATTATAAAATAGGGTATTTTTTAATATACCCTTTATCTTTTTAAGCACCACACGAATATATATATATATATATATATATATATATATATATATATATATATATATATATATATATATATATATATATATATATATATATATATATATATATATATATATATATATATATATATATATATATATATATATATATATATATATATATATATATATATATATATATATATATATATATATATATATGCTCTTAAATTTTGAAGATGCATCTTCGGATGCATCAAATTCTAATTGAACGTTAAAATATTCGTGAGATTCATCTCCGTAACAAATTAAAACACATATTATGCATCACACTTAGAAACCATACACGTATATTGTACCAAGGATGCATCTCCGTGAATTTTACGGAAATACATCTTTGTAATGTATCAAAATTGAACTCTTCATGTTATGTTTTATTTACGTGTATTCAAATGCAGATTTAAACCATACGAAATGCAAAAAATAACGTACATAAATTCAAATGATCCAAAAATGTCATATATAAATAAAAGAATAAATGTCAAAAAAAGTTGAGAACAGTGATAAAGTAGTATGATGTCAAAATAAAATACAACTCATAGTACTACTACTATATACCAATGCACTACTGTGTATGTTTGACTGCACTTCCTTTTCCTCCTCTACCTTCTCTGCCTCCACGACCATCAACCCCCTTGTCCTCATATGTTGTCTCTAATACATCAATGCCCATATGCCTTAGACATGATGGCACCTAGGACATGTCTCACATCAGACCCATCAGAGAAGATACTTGTGTCATTTCATGTCTGTACAATCTCCACTATGTGGCGACATCTAGGAAAGACACCCTCCGCATGATCCAATTTTTCCTGCTCCTCCTCTAGTATCTTCTAATGAGCTGGTCTCGGCGGATCTCCTGGAGAAATATGCACCATGTACGAATGTGACACCCTAAAGAACTATCTGATATACCCTTCGAAGTAGCTTCATTTGCTCTCAGCTATGGTACTTCGTGTCTCCTCTAGTACCAGATAACTCTCATAATCATCAAACATATAATCTATTTGTCTATGTGTCAAAGAAAGAGGAGCAGAGACAACATGGTGTCTTAGAGTGGTCTGAGTGTAGTTAAGCTGTCGCATGACGCACTCGAGCAAATGAGAAGCAATGAGGTGTGATCCACAGGCCAACCATCCTGAGTATAATATTATCTTGGCAAATGCTCACATCTCAAGGTGATCAACATAGTTGTTGAAGTGCATGTCCTTGACAACCAAACGATCAATATACACTATGAAAGGCTCATTCTCCTGGTTCCCTTTGAGTGGGGAAAAACTAGTAGCAAAAGGCATATCCTCAGAGTAAGTTGTTACACTCGCCCAATCGGAGATACGCGGGAAGTGCTGGAAGATCCAAGCCTTAAATGAAAAGTTTGGAACACGCAAATTATTAGTAATGGCTTTGCAAAAATGAAATGAAAATGACAAAGAAACATTAAAAGACCAATAATTATTACCATCAGTAGTGTGATGCTACTTGTGACCTACTTCATCTTCCACAAGTGCCAAATATTCTACCATCATCTCGAGTGCTTCGTCTTTGGTAATTCTCCCATGATTTAGAAGTCTCCCCTTGATCGAAAGATGTAGCATACACGACACATTTTCGAGTGTGATAGACAACTCACCACATGGGAGATGAAATGACGAGGTCTCCGAGTGTCATCTCTCCACAAATACATTAAACATCCCATGGTTGGTCGTAGTATAACAGGTCATGAACAAGTCCTTTAGGCCATATAAGGACAAAAGTGCTTGAAACCAATCTTTATTCGGTTGAGGCAAGCTAGTAATATTTCACCTGTTGTTAATAAACTTCTGCAAATCACATTCCTGAAAAAAATAAAAATCAATGTCATAAATTTTTCAATTAAAACTAACGTAAATAAAAAAATAAATCCAATTAATGCTTTCTCTCAGTCCCAGATATGTCTGGCAATATCGTCTGGATACAGAGGCAGTAATGACAAATCTACAGGGCCTTATCCAAATGCCTCTAGCTCAGCATCTGCAGCAGCCTCACCTTCCAGAGTTGGCACTGGATCAGCAGCACCAGCAGTAGGAGGTGGCACGAACTCAAAAGCATCTACAATAGGAGGTGCCACTAGTGAATTGGGTACCTCAGGCGCCTGAATAGGGGAAACCTAGAACCTGTGAGAGGATGGAGGGAGTGATACGTCAGTAGGTGAATCTTGTCTCCTACGGAAGAAGAAGGTGGAGTAGCATGAGGAGAATCATTAGCCCCAGAAGTAGATGGCTCTCTATGGCCAGAGGGACCAGGAGCCTCTAAAAATTGTTGACTCTTCTCCTGTCGTACTGATATGTGTTATGCAGCCCTCATGTGCCTCATCCTATCGTGTCTATTAGCCATTATACATGTAAGTTAAAGTAAATTGGCCATTATTCCTGGGAAACTAAAACATTGAAACATTCCGGAGATGCATCTCCGGAATTTTCTACAACTCAATAATTGCGTCAATGGCGGATATGTACCTCATACAATCCCAAAAAAATGCTTTGATCATCCTTTTCAGCCAAAAAAAATGTAATACACTATGTCTAAACTATCATACATGCAATTTTTACTCATTTCTAACCTTAATAATCAATTTCTACTCAATTACACAAAAACTCAAAAACTTATCAAAACACA